AATACAGTAAAAATAATAAAGTAAATTAATATATATATATATATGTTAATTTACTCTGTAACTAGTGTTCTGAGGTTTAATGATGCTATTCTGACTAGTTTCTAAACGTGACTTAATCCTTGCCCCTGGGTTCTAGTGGCAGCACTGGCCATCAAAGGTGAACGAATTTAACTTTTTTGAAAATATACTAAACATCGCTACAGTGTACGAATTATTCCACTTTGAATGCCCATCTTTACGCCCCTTCTTCCTGAGCCATGGTCTTTTTTTATATTTTCACATTCTATTAAGACATATAGTTTGGGCTGACTTGCTGATATGGATGGACAATATCACTTGTTGCTTAATTTTACTTTCGGTTTTCCACCAAACGGTGTCCGCTATGCAGCGTGGTCTCTGGTGGATTATGTGTTCTAGGTTTGCTTTGGCATGAACATCTATCCCCACAGGCTGTTGGTAACACTCTGTTTGTATCAAGTGTGCCAGGAATGGTAGTCCTACATTGTAGGAATGGAAGTCCGGAATCCCAAATGATCAGTGCAGGTATTAGGTTGTTGGAGTTTTGGGGTTAGTACATGGGGCAAGTGTCACCTGTCCAAAATAATAGGGAACGGACTACGGTTCCTAACGACTACCATTCTTGTCACACCGGTTACAAAAGATGGTATCCAATCTCCAAAGTTTTCATCTTCTTTGACTGAAAAACAAACAGCGATTGTGACATGTGAGATAAACAGTCCTAAAATGTCTCTTGAATGTATAATGTCAGTTATAGATTTACAATTGACAGAAACAGAAAATGTTATTTTAATGCTGTTATTTTCATAAAACATGTTTATTATTGATATGATTGCTCTTCAAAATAAGAAGTACTAAAACAATGGTACGTATTTCACTCTTACGACTGTCCTTCAAACTAACATCAATCATTTGATACATAAAAATTCAACTTCTGTCCAGTTACATGGCAATTTTGTAGCAAACTGAATAATTATTGCAAAATCCTTAATACATAAAGCTGGTGAAAAATGAGGAGTGTCAGTCAGTTAATCTGATTGCATTCAGCAAGAGCTCCCGTGGAGTTAGTGCTCAGTAGTTAAGTTGATCAAATCATTGTGAACGTGTCTTTAGTATAGCAAATCTGACAAACTGTTGGAGTAAATCAGAAGACTTTTAAGTATTAAAAGTGACTTTAAGATACTTATGACCACCTGGTGAGTGAAAAATGCAAATGCACAATGTGCAAATAACTTCAATTATTTATCTGATATATTATTATGTTTTTTTTTTTATAAATAAACGCCTATGTTTGATATCGCTCTAAGAGCCGTTTAGAGCTCACGTTCTGTTGTTGAATACCATACCGATACAAATAAAACTTACATCAATATTTACAAAGAAACATACTGTTTATTATCATTTATTTTATTATAAATTTATCTTATTTTGTTTATTTATTATTTTTCATTAATAATGATAATATTTAATAATGAGATTATTATTATTATTATTATTATTATTATTGCTAGTCGCTAACGTAAGATTAGTACAAGAGTAGTATAAACGTTTGTCCAGGATTGCGGAAATATAAAAATCAAATTTCGATAACCGCTTAACTGTATGGGATTTTCTTCGAACAACGGCAGTCATTAACTTCTAGGAATTATTAACACAAAGTCATACTTTAAAAATTGAATCATGAGGCGGTAAAATTAATGGAGATTTTTTTTTATTTGATAAATTAACTATTCGATAATAAATGCAACCTCTTTCTCTCTCTCTCTCTTTCTCTCTCTCTCTCTCACACACACACACACACACACACACACACACAAACACAATCCTTCTTTCGTCACATTTTGTTCTTGTATAAAATTAACCATCTTTTTATTAGATAAAAAGCTTCATCAAGAGTAAGTAAATTTTAGTATAAAACTATTGATCTTTGAAAAGCAGGCATTGTTTTCTTTATATATTTCCCTTTGCTTCTTTTTTTTTCTTGTGCACAACTTTCCCTCTCTCGCACTACCTTTTCCTATTAACATGTGACTCTTTCGCCAGCTCTGCGTAGTAACCTTGGGCGACATTTGGACATTGAAATGACCATCAACTTTACCATCTTTGTTGTCACGGCTCCTTCACGCTGAAATGGCCCGTCATAGATGTTCATAAACCCCCACATTATTAACATACTGACCACAGCAATGTGATGATAGCTATTTGTCTACTCAATGTCAATAACAACTTTGAGGTAAAGTACATGTTTTGAAAGGAAAACAATCCCTTCATGTCCAAACGCGGTCATTATCAAATTTCAAAATAAATAAACACAAATGTCAAATGGGAAAATTTTATGCGTTTTGCCAGTAAAAAAACTGACATATGTTAAGATAAGTTAAGATAAGATAAGAGTTTATTCACCCAATATATATATAGAAGTTAAAAATCCACATATAACGGAAATCGGATTGCTATTCTGGTATAATTTATTAAGTTTCAAGGTTACAACATGTAATGTGAAAGCAACTATTTCAAGAATATAGATGCAACAAAGCTCTCGTCTTACATGATGTAAAGATCACCTCTGTTACATCTTAATTTAGAGATAGCAAATCTAACGTGAAACATTTTCTTTGTGATAGAAAATTTTAGGGCCCCCAGAAAAATATTGTATTTTTCCCCTTAAAACCCCGCGGGCAGTCCCCACCTTCGTAAAGCGTTATCTACTTTTTTTAAATAACGCAGTCGTCACTCCCTCCTGCTTTCAAGCATGTGCTACCCGGCGTCCACCAGTCTCGTGACGATGGCCATCACAAGCCCCGATGACCGCTCCCCGACCCTGATCTATATTGTGGTCTGGTCACCCCAGATGGCCCAGACTTAGCCGTGGCCAGTTACGCCCATGTGTTACCGTCCACTGAGCACGGGTCAAATGCAGTCTCCTACACGGACAGGGAGTTGTAGATGTTTTTTATAACAATACGCTTATTATTGCCCTTGTTGGATCGGACTTGGAACAAATTTTGGTCCATTCTGAGTATTGTGAAATCTAGAGCAAACCAATATTCGCTCTCCAAGCTGTCGCAAATGTGGTGTAACACAGGGTTAAATGATATTAAAATTTGTTAAGGAGCTGCACACCAATGTAAAGATAAATAAATCGATAGATGTGCATTACACAAGGATGATTTTCATATTTTATTTAAGTGTAAAGGGCAAAGGGCCCCACAAATTAAGAAAACGTGTCATTCTACTGGCGTAATTAAAACAAAACTTTGCAATCTGAATCAATCAAAGCTTGGCCTGTATGTTGCGTATTTCCACACCATCTGGCCCCAAGTCGTTAAAATTGAGCGACATTAACTACCAACTACTTTTGATATATTTATATATATCACATAATGCAACGATTAATTACGCAAAATTACAAACAGCTACAAATCGTCTTAATGTCTTTTTCCCCGCTACAGTGGGTTAACACTGACCATCTGATAACTGACCATCACTTACTAATCCACCGTCATTGTGGTCAGTTGCTCGCTGGTCAGATAAAAAATATCTGGTCGGCCCTGAAATGAATTTCTTCATCCACTATCCAGTAAAGATGCCGATCCTTTTGAAGAGGTGGTTTAAAATATGTGATAAGTGCGGTTTATGTGCTATCGCTAATGTTTTTTATTAAATCTCAGTTTAGGGTTACATGTATTTCTGTAATTATAATTTTGGTTACAAAAGACGAAATACGCATCTTTGCATTAGTAAACAACATTTCTCTTGCCCATAAGCATGAAGGACTCTACCCCATCCCAGCCCATTATAGGACCCCTCAAACACACACGCACAATCAAACAGACTCGCGCGAGCGCATGCACACACACGCACACACACACACACACACACACATACGAAAACGTTCGCAAACAAACACACACAAGCTCTCATGACACTAATTTTCATATCTATATGAGAATATTTTTTGTAACAATGTAAAATCTTATTTAACGTAAGTCAAAATCTACCAGAATAATTTAATAGTTCTCACACCGCATCAAACCAAAGCTCTGCGTACTTTTAGGAGCACAAGAGATCTCAAACAATATTGAACGTTCCGCGACATGTCAATACAAAGCCTAGGGTGACTGCGGTCAAGGGAAATTTGTGTATCAAAGACGTAATAGTGGTATCTGCGGCTATGTGAATTTTAGTATGTTTGGTCGATGCATAATTTAAGTTAAAAGATGAGATTGGCCAACGTCCGTTAAAGCAATGAATCATATTTTTGCCTACTAGGTGAATAATTATTCCATGTACCACGTCGAATTGATTTCCACCTGCATAAGTAAATCATTATATGTGTTTCTTTCAAGTTGATCCAGTAAAACATAAGTAAGAGCACGTGCTTTTTTTCGCAACATACAGTACATAAGAAGTTGTATGCCTAAAAATCACCCAGCAATTCTGGTACTATTTGTTAGTAATACATTAAATATTAAATATATTTTTGCACCAATTTTAACTTTTTTCAAATCTAAACATTAAATATTTCCGTTACCGATGTGCAGACTCGCCTTTCTTTTGTAACAATAACCTTACAAATTCTTTGACAACATCGCCTTGTATCAGTAACAAAAGATGAGTTTTTATTTATATTTTTTATATTATTTATATTTTATTATTTTCCGAGCTTATTTTATGGTGTTACTTGTTACAAACGTGTAAAATACACGTGCAAAACTTAGAATAACAATAGCAAATAGGATATGCAGTTTAGTTCCTTGTTCATTTCGTTTTAATAATGTTCCTGCATGAAATTCATAAATTTGAGTTTTTCAGTCACGGTCGATCTTTATCAGATTAACCCCCGCCTTTTTTCGCTTAGCATCATAATGTCTACGATCAAAACACAGTGAGTTAAAGATATTCGGTCACTTTCGGTCATACTCGGTGATATACGGCCAACCCGCGTGCTAGGGGTTACTTCATACATAAATATAAAGTTAAGCACAGTGACAATACTTCGCTTTGTGGCATCATAAACCGCGGCAAAAAGACACACAGCGTCGGTAACAGATACCGCAGACTAAGCTGTTGTAGTTAGAAGTTTATTGTTCACCGGTCACTCAAAACCAGCAAGTGGTCTACATCAGGCTCGTAAGATGTCCGTCGATAATAACGAAGTGGACAGTGGGCAGCGGAGTGAGAAGACAGCACAGCTGGACATTCAATATTCAGGTGAGACGAAGTGACGGCGCGCAGCGCGAACATTTAGAGTGCAGCGCACGTGTGTTGTCCGTTAATGACGTATACAATTCTACGTGCGTACTTTAATGTGGTCTTCGTATGTGTTAAAGCAATGCGCGGATCTAAACAAACCTTGGAATTCGTTTAAGCTATAAAAAGACGGACTTACAGTGGCGACAGTCTGAGGTTGTTGTTTAATAGACATATATGTGACAAATATGGGTAAAGACTTTGATACACGGTCAGGTGTTGGGGGGAAAATCTACCATAAAGGTTACACATAGAGCTTACATGATCATCCTCGAGGGGAGTCTAAGCTATTTGTAAAATGTGTGCTTTGTCTGTGATAGCGTTTAAATTTAGACCTAATGTTTTTTTTTAACTCTTTGCTTCCCTGTAACGCATGAAAAATGTCTCTTCACAGCGTGGGATGGAATAGGTTTAATTGGTTTCCAAATATTGTAGTGGCGAAGTCAAATATTTTTAGTAATGGGTTTATACTTCAATGGTAAATGAATGTTCCGCGTAGAAAATGCCACTAAAGAAATCAAAAGGTGTCAAGTCAGACTGTAGTTAACCAGGGCTAATAAATCTAAGCACAAAGCCCCAATAACGTATTTTTGATTTCTAGAAATATTGAATGATATTAAGGTAACGAAATTTCATTTTGCAAAATCACGCATTCGCAATTCATACCAAAGTTACTTCGTAACCATGGTTTTATTTTGAAAATGCGGCAAACATTACAGGCCCGTAGACAGCAATTTCAAATGGGGGTTCGTTTTCTGAAAAAGTGGCCTTTTTACCATAAAACCTTCATGTACCGATATCAAATTTTATCCAGAGTGGACCTTTTTCCCAGCAAAAAGGGCGCTTCTTTCAAACCCCCCGAAACCCCTCCCCCCCCCCCCCCCCCGGCTACGGGCCTGCATTATGTCTTAACTTACTTATATGAAAGTTATATCATACCTTATTATATTGGATTTAATATTTGTAATCGTATCTGTAATTAAAGAACATTTCTGTAACTAAAGAATCTCTATTCAAAAATAACGACTCGTTAGTTACAGATACGTTCCATGGTGAACCCGAACGTGAACTTCGTATTCTTACCCTTATTTGACAAAAATTCAAAATGCAAACTCAAACTCAAGCAATTTGTTACTGTGAGAGTGGAACGTTCATTTTGAAAATACTTCTGATTTTCAATTTTTTGCATGCAATTTTTTTTAGCATTTTGGCAAACCTTTTGTGATTATTCTTGATTTTCCAAAGGAAAACGCTAGCCAATCATGCCATTATTATTATTATTATTATTATTATTATTATTATTATTATTATTATTATTATTATTATCTTGTTCATCTTGATTTTATTAATTTTTTTTTCATTGAGAGACGGAGGTTAAACGACTTGTAGAAACACAAAGGGCTATACAATCGCAGCCAGCATATGTGCGGTTACAAATTAATGGCCTGTGTACTCAAAGGATTCAAATCGCAGACTTAGCATGATTGACGTGAGTTGTCAAAAATTTAACTCAATTCGAAAAATGTGCCCATGCTACTTCTGCAGCTGATTCAGAACAATTTTTGCAATTTTCCATTTGAAAAATCTCGGAAAAGAGACCCTTTTCTCAAAAATAATGTTGATAGTTATTAAAACATTTCGAAGTCCATCGACCCTACCAACCGGTATGTGTTGAAGGTTTTTTTTCTTTTTCTTTTTCTTTTCCTTTTTTTTTTTTTTTTTTTACTGTTGTGTAGCATGCTATCCATTAAAACGCAAACAACTATTTAATTACACCAAATCAGAAAGATGTGGTATAGCGCCTCGTTTTTAAATCGTCTTTCTAACAAATATTGTAACTGAGATTTTGAGATCCTGTTTAGACTTTTAACCAATTTTGTATTGAGAAATTGATTATTATTGAGCGTTGCAAATTTGGTGACATAGCATAATAACCGTGTTGGCCTTTTTACTGTAAAACATCGCCTAAATGGAATCTATAGAGATTACATAACCAATTTCGTTGATCTATTTTAGATGCCAATTAGACTTAATTTTTTTGTAATATTTGGTTATGTTTGTGATTGGCTTCTTGCACGAAAAAATGTGCTTTTTGATTACAAACTTAATCTAAATAAATTGGAAACGATCTAATACATGAGAGGCATTCTTTTACAATATACTTACGTGGGATTAATGTGAATCGCTTAATCAATATTTCATTACCTAGAAAATGAACTGAAATCAAATTTATCCTCGTTCCAAAGGATCTTGTGAATGTGATTTCTTTCAAGAGTTGCAGGAATAACTGATTGGTAAACACGAGGCTTACTTTGTGTTAGTGGAGAAATAAAATTGAAAAGAAGCAGTTTTGGGTACCTTCTTCTTTTATTTTTCTTCATTATCAACGTTATTTTTTACATTTTATTTCATTCTATTTTTGTACCAGAATTTAAAAAAGGAGTAATTATTTGCAGCCCTTTTTTCGGACGTGTCTTCGACTGCTGCTAATAAATAAGGACATATCCGTGAACGTGAAATTGCAATTTATGCAAATGTCCCATTGTACTGAGTAGACTGGTCAAAAACACCCATCGCTTAAAACCTACATGATTAGAATTGACAAGTTTAAAAGAACGTTTATGTTTATGGTTCATAAGTGAATGTCGTACCAGCGAGTGCCGCGAGAGAAGTCGATAAATTTTTCAACTGTTAAGGTGCACTCGAGTGGGAGGAGCTTGTCTCTCAAATTCCACTTTGAGACTTCGTTACGTGACTACGCTTTTGTGACCTTCTGGTATGCCTTAGCTCCAACCGCGGCTCAAAATTAACTTTTTTTGGTTCAATGACTATTAATTTATTACCCGGAAGCAAAATTTGCTCATTACTCTCTTAAGTAGAACAAAATTATTCGGTTCCATTTCTGAAACCGATGTTTTACAAGAAATAGACGTTTCGACGTTTCGAAATTTGGCAATTTAAATTCGATAGTGATTGCTGATTACATATACTTTGAATGTTTATTTCTTGACATTTGGATCGCTATTATCCTTGCATATAATTGCTAATTTGATAACCACACCCTTAAAGATTTTAATTTTGTGTTAGACACAAGAAAAAGATTATATATCTTCGGCAATTTTTTAAAGGTTATGAACACACAATAATCTGCCAAGAACTTAAATATTCGATTTCATTCACCTATGAAAGATACACAAAATCTTGAAAAAAATCAAAATCCAAGAAACTGTACCTCGTTTGTGTATGTGTGTGTGTGTTTGTGTGTGTGTGTGTGTGTGTGTTGGTTCAATCATATGCTTTCAATTTTTTAAAAATGACAGGGAAGGGAAAAGCTAAGGTTGCTTTCATACAATTACTCATATCATTTTAATTGCAACTATTGCAACTATTTTAGTTAATTTATTCATCTAACGATAGCTGACTTATGGGAAATATAGACAGAAACATAATAAATATTATAACTTAAAAACGAAGTCCCATTCTCAGGACCCGGCTTCCATCCAGCTCTTTGGGGACTGCAAAACAGTAATGACGTTTCAAAAAAAATGCTGACGTGGTCGTATTTGATTGGTCCAGCCGTGCCAGAGTTGATTCCGAATTTCATTACATTACAAGTTGTTCTCATCTCGAGCTTGTGAAAGAGGGTTGGGTGTTGCTGACATCCAAGTGCAATGTAACGCATACTTTCGGTTGTCCAATTAACTCTTGGCATTACACCATCCACCGGGGTTGGTACGATATGGCACTGAATTAAACATTCAAAAGTGGGCTTGACATTGAAGAGCAGATTAAAATTGAGTAAACACTCAAAATGTGATTTATTGCTCTGGAAGATATTTCTGATTTATGGCTTATTCCGAGTAAGTAATTGCGTAAAGATTTTTAATGTGTGAAATATGTTCTAATAACTCATGGGAGTGCTTGTCTCCAAAAGAAAATACTTCGTCTCTAAAAGTAGGGTTTGTTTGCCACCACATTCTTCGGTTTCATCGATTCATTTGTGAAACTGTCGTTAATCTTTCTTGCGAATGTAAAAATTATAAGGGAGCTTTTATTTAGTAATATTTGTGGAGAAAATAAATCAGAAGGGATATTTCGGTTGGATATAGTGGGCAACGGGAAAAAGTGTATATTGTAGCTAAAAAAAATACAAATATCTACATACCAATGTTGCAATAAAATTCAGTTTGGAAATTTATAGACATTCAGTTTGTCCAAAATGGATTGTTTTTATTTCTGCTTTCTTTTCACGAATCTTTTGAGTTGAATTAAATACCAGTTAAATTTGTCATAATACAGAAAACGTGGCTAAATAAAAAAAAAGATACTTAGGTTTTTTTTTTTTTTTTTTTTTTTTTCTCCTCAGCTGCGATCGAAACTTAAACTGTTTTGTGGTTTTGTAGTACATGTCATGGAATTAATTGTCCATTTGAGGTTTTCTAAAGTTTAAGCATTCAACTCCGAGACGTTCACCTGGTATATGCGTGCACTTGGCGTAGGTTTATGTACTTTTAAATCATGGCTGTGGTTATGCACCGTGTTTCTTACTTTCGTCCACTAAAATTGTGTAAATCAGAGTTTTTTTACAATATCCAACCAACGCCGCGTTAAAATTGAGATACCGTTTGTTTGAGGTATTTAGATTAATTAAATAAATGCTTCTAGGCCCATTTCAACGAGTCGCCAATTATGGAGAATTGAAGATATCAATCGTTATTGCTAATACAGGTGTATATATGTATACTTATGATTAGCCGAAACAAGAGAGAATAAAAGAAAGGGAAAGAAACTAATGACTGTCAAACATCTGTATAGATAATTGACGTAAAAGTATTTAATCATGTCTAAAATGAGCATGATATTATGTATGGCATAAGCAACCGGTAAGGAGCAATTTTCAAACGATCTCAGCAGCATGTTTATTGTTAAAACTTTCATTTATTTATATCTGTTTTTTCTGTCAAACACAAGAAAAACGTTAGTTGCCCTAGGTAATATTTCTAAGATCATAATGTCGCAAGAACTTAAATGGTCATATTTTTTTCTTTGTCAAATGTATTAAAATATTTTGGATGTGTTTATTGGGTACATAACCATACATATATATGTATAAGTAACATAGGTGGCTTTTGCCACTTAAAAAAATCATTGACCAGTTTGAACTTTGTCGCTTAAAATGCTCCTGATTTTTAGGCAAAGTTCTCTACAAAAGAGAAGGCGAGAGAGATTGATTAAATTATATGAGCTCCACTTATCTTTCCTTTCAACTCGTTATTTTATCAACTTCTTGATATATTTTGAAAATTATATAATATTCTACTAAACTACAAATCTGTGTTCTTTTTACAATGGTTTTGTATACATATGTACAGTAATAGTATATATACATATACTATACATATACAAAACATTGTATATGTACAGTATATAATCTATAAAATCTTGACGTGTGTCATGGTGTATTCTGAAAAAAAAGATAATATGTATATTTTTTGAAGGGGATGGGCGAAGATGAAATATGACAAAGGGATATGTAGGCCTATTCAAGTCAAGGGTGGCGTCCATCTTTTCCTCAAAGCAAGATTTCTAGCCCAGATAAGTAAGGGTTGTTGACTCTTATTTAACCTGGGAAATGTCCGTAAATTTTTTAATTTAGCGCGCGCGATATTCCTTTTCAAAGACAGCGGAGGAAGGTTTTTTATCATCATAATAAACGGCGCTTTTGTGAGTGATTATGATTTGACATAAATCTGTCACGTTTGCTAATTTCCACTGATCCGATTGTAAAAAAAAATCAAACTAATGAAAGACACAAAAAAATGGAGATAACTCAAGGAGGCAAATGATAATGGCAGGGGATGTCTCTGGCCCTCTATTTGTGACTGATAACCATCGGATGACTTAGATTTGCCATATCAACAACTCCATCTGTATTGGTTGTAAATTAAAAAAAAGAATACCAGAGAGATCAAGATTAAGCTTGGGGGGGCACAGTATCATGTGATGACGATGAATTCCGTTCTGGCGGAACTAATTTCTATTTACAAAAAAACTATTTTGGATACAATGATTGATTGAGGGGGTAAAAAGGACAGATGGGAGTTTCCATTAAGATAAAACTACTAAAATCCGTAAAAGCGTATTTGGTGCTAATACTGATAAAGTGCTCCTTTAAATAAAGTAGAGGGGTCACTCATCTATCGTGTATAAAGTGGTAGCTTCATAGTAAGGATACGTGTACTCATGTCAATCTCCTTCCAGTGCTGCAGACGATGCCGGAGGGAGCTGAGTTACAGCATTTTGACATCAATTTAGTAGACGCTGATAGTAAAAATAGGCCTTCATTTATTTAACAAAGCACCGTTTTGTCACGCTGTTGCAGGTGTAGCGGGATGAAATAAAAGATTTGTTGATCTTTTGACAGACTGTTGGATAGCTGTAAAGGCTTAAACAGTGATAAAAGTCATCTTCCTTAATGATAAAATTAAAGTAAAAAAGGCCGAAGTAATATTTGACTAGACCAGTGGAACATGAGTTGTACTGCCGTCAGCGTAATAGCCGGTAGCAGTAGTCGTTCTAAAATATAGTAAAACCAAATGGTAATTCATTTGCCGGCATTTTTTTCTACGCCATTTGCATATTCCAAATTGCAGCCAAGGCACAAAAAAATTCAAAAAATGTCTAAAATGTAAAGATCTGTATCATCAGTTGGCATCCCAATACGTTAAGCACGCCAGCAGCGGTCAGTCCCACGTTAATGGTGAACAGTGACCACCCCAATTGCTCCACGGTCATTTCAAGTTCTGCCAGCACGTGATAAAGTACATCCACAAGTATTTACCCATGGACTTCACCGGGCATACCCCGGGCAGGGGGGAAGATACCCCGGGTAATGACTTTATCTACACGAAGGCATGAGAACATTATCTACGCTACGGGGCAATTTGGTTGTCAAAAAAGCGACCAACGGACCCACTTTGTTTTTTATTTTGATCGGAATCACATATATAAGGAAAATTATAATGGTAATGTTTGTTGATGTATGTTGTGTGTTTTAGTAACATGTTCCGCGATAATACCCTTACACGGCTGCAGATCTTGATAAGTGGAATAATGGAAGGGCAGTTATTGTCAGGTTAATTTCCAATGTCCGTCCCCTAGCTGCAAAAACAGGTGGTCAATTTCAGTGTCGTCAACTTCGCGTGACACGCCATGTAAGGTTGATGACTGTCGACTGCGATTTAACTAACGTCCTGAATTTAGAGAATAATAAAAACAAAATGCAGTGGACAAGAAATGAAAAATGACCCGGAGCTAAACAATATATTTTAAGCAAAGACAATAATAACAACAGCAACCGTACAAAAACGTATACATATTCACAGTTTGGAGATGAAGTTCTGCCTTTAATTGATTATGAGAAGTTTAAAGATTCCCCGTCCTTAATAGCTTTATATCCCAAATTCAAGAAACATACATTTTTTAATGTAGAACGTGCCGTTCCAATGCTTACCAAACTTGCCCGTTTCCAATAATGAAAAGATAAAAAAATATAGCTTACATTCTTATATTAATCGATTCTGAACGTGCAGTACATATTTTCATTATGTTCAATTTCAATATTTCCTGTTTCATTCAGCTTCGGTTCTGTTTTCGAACACATTTTATAGCGGATTATTTAAATTACGTGTGAACCGAACTTATGTATATTTGAGACAATTGTATCGCTCCAATTTTAAAACTCGTTATTTCCTTTGAAAAAAGCAAGGAAGAAAAAACGACATCCCTTATTACAGATTTCTTCAGACCAGTTCAATTCATATTACACTAGTACAGTGTACTTTTGATTTTCTGAAAAATTTTCACCAATACAGAGCACCGGAATTTCATTATAGAGTTTTAAAAAAATCTGCGTGTCGGCGCGTTCGAATACTAGGATGGCATCGAGTTACTGGCACGTACCAGTATATATGGCAGGTGGAACGCAAACTGATTGTATTTGTTACGCCAGGTTATGACAAAGCTGTACTAAATCTTAGTTTGAAAGGTAATTGAACAAGACTTCACGCCTTAACAAAAGCCATCATGTCACCCGTAGTAATGAGAGCTTCCTTTAGAACTAACGACATAACATTAGCTTTGACTTCTACAATGTTCCTTGCTGTCAGTCCATCTGTTTACCTTAAAAACCGTCTGCGGGGTTCCTTGCGTAAATTCAAAGCTAGGCAGACAAAACAGGTGGAACTAGATTAAGCCATTATTTTACAGCATGATCACGTACGGGCTGATGGTCGTTAGGCGAATGGCTTTGAGAAGTTTTTTTATCGAGCACAAGGTTGACCACAATTTACAACACATTTATCTTTCACAGCTACTCGAGAAAGCAAATGTTATTAATCAAGTGGTCATTCCATTTTAACGTTTTGTTTCAGAAACGAATTGTCTGTTTATAGGCTTAATAGGCCACTTGCGGGAGGGCTCGATATGAAAATAACGAAGGAGTTATTGGACGTTTATAATCTGATTATTCTACGCGTTTGTATTTCTACCCTCTTTGACAAATTTGCAGAAAAATTGCACATACATGTGTATGAGATCTGTAGACCAAGGAACATTTTGAAAGATGTCTATTCTTTAAAGTTAAAACTTTAAAGAAAACAAACCACAGTTTCTTAGATTTAAAAATAAAAAAAAACTATGCCAAGATTTCTATTCTGACAGAAAGTTATGTAAAAGAGTGACAATAAAATTTTATTTTGCTTGAGCTTTGATTGTATGCGCTGCATTTTACTTTGATTTTTAAAAAAGAACCTTGATAAAAAAAAATCACGTTGTTTTTCTTGGGATGTGCAAGGGTGCTCTGTTAATGCCTTAGGAACTGGGTCCCTGGGGACGTGTGTTTTGACGGTACCCCTTAGTTCAGGGCACAAAATAGATAAATTCAAAAAATAGAAATGCTTCTCTCTTATATTAAGTTCGGTGACCAAATATCTCTATCGCCATAACGAGAACTTTAGTAAGCAAATGCAAATGAGGTTAAAAAAGAAAGAAATCCGGTTGAGGTGTCTGGCCTCGTATCACGAGCTGAGTCCATTTCCGTCATAGAGCGCATTCAGAAGAGCCGACTAACAGATCCGCGGATCAAATATGGACAACCCACTTGAATGCTTGTTGCGGGGAACGTATTCAGTGTCTAACTAAATGGGGAATTAAGTGGCAAGCTTTTAAGCTGGTCGCCATATTGATCCGCGGAATTGCTAATCCGCTGTCCTGAATGCGCTCATAGGTCCCCCCCCCCCGTACACATGTAATAATCGACCATCAAATTTTTGCATGGCAAGAGGTCCACATAAATAAGAAATAATGAAAGTGACGTTGTCTCTATTTTTTTATTTCAGACTTGATAGACGGCAAGCGCACGAAGGATGTTGACGAGGAGGATGAGGAGGAACGCTCCTGTGCCGTCTGTCATGACAGGGCCACGGGACTGCACTATGGCGTCATGTCGTGTGAGGGATGCAAAGGTGAGAAGGCTGCATTAGGCAGTTAGTAAAAAAGGAAGTCTGGATTTATTTCTTTACTTTTTTAATTATTCATCGCCTATTTTTAAAATACAAATATGCACACACCCACGCATAGATCCACGCAGACTGATTATACATATTCCATTATCACTAAAGCACAAGTATCAAATTACCTGTATATAAAAATCTTGTAACAAATGTATAGATAAATGAGTCAGTCGTAAAAAGATGTGTTTTGTTTCTTTGGGGAAAAGAAAGGACATCTGGGTTGAAAATGACGAAAAAAGTGTCTTTGGTATCCGTAACTTGATAGTTTTGGAATAAACTCTGATTTCTTTTCCTGTAATAAAAATATTTTTAAGGATTACTGTAAGCCTCACTGCACTTCCTAATGTTATTCTATGTTTTCAATATTTAAAAAGGCATACATGTCCCACCAAAATAAGATCGCTCTGTGAGCAAGTAGCATGTGATTTGTGACGTGAAAAATGAAGGGGNAGCAAATGTTTCAAATCCTTCACATTGCTACGTAATCGACACTACTACATAAAAACGTAATATTTGTTATAGTTCTCTTTATGTAACTGATTAAGATCATTTTAAGTCCAAATCTGCATATTTTGATTTCAGGATTTTTTATGCGTTCCGTGCTCCATCGGGCTGTGTATAAGTGTAGGAATCACGAAGGGTGCATCATGAGCAAGCGCACCAGAAACAGGTGCCAGTACTGCCGTCTGCTTCAATGTCTTAAAGTCGGAATGAACGTCAAAGGTAAATTTTAGCGTTTATTTGTCTACCTAGTATCAAGAACGTATCTGAACTCTGGTACTGCTTTTCGGAATCCATCATACGATCGCGTGAATACGTCTAATCAGTGGAAATATCCTGTTGTGGGAAATATTGTTTTTTTCATCAAATGGTAAACAAAATATAAATTTAGAGCTGTTCTTGAAGCTATACATCAGAGCAATCTGCTATAATTTGCAAACAGTGAAAGTCGATCTTCCAAGGGTGTTTATGTCCTTCATTTTATGCACTGTCACTTTTTCAAAATCCCTTCACAGGGCTTATAAACGGATTGGGCGTTTGCGAACTCGAACCTCAGTTTGTGAGTACGAATGCCGAAATTTATGACTGTTACGCCGCAGGTGGTGTTTTTGTTCCTTTCTCATCACTTTAGTTTTGCGTGTGCCTGTACATTTGTCAAAAAAAGCAATTTGTTTGTTAAATTTTATAACATTTTTACTCTGACTGAATAACACGAAAACATAACATGTGTGATGGATCTTGGCTACTCACATAATAAAATGGATGGTGGCAATCAAACTGTCATATCCGTGTAAAATTTATATATTTGACCCATTTGTGTTTGATTGACGTAACAAATGTTTTGGATCGGAGGGATAAAACTGTTTTTAAGATATTTTGTTAGAGTAAAGCTAAATTCACAGATATACCACGTTTATTTTTTTAAAATATGCTATATTGTCATTCACTGGCAGTTACAAAATATAGCNCTGATGCAATTTTCATAAATCTCATTAATTTTAATCAATGAAGGTACATTGCAATAGATGAATCTTGAGGCGCATGAAAATGATACGTAAGGATGTATAATCTTATCTCTGAATTACTTTTGAATACCTAATAACTTGGGATATGTCACATAATGTTGTTTACAGAATGTACATGTGCTATATTCAATGGGGGAAAAATGCCTTTGCCTTGCAGTGAAACTTTAATTGCCATTTTATTACAGACAAATGTAAATTTATGCACCGTGAGGAGTACTGAATTCTTTACAGGTAAAAGAAGAGTAATGCTAAATACCTACACAATATCCAAGCCAGTAGCCAACTGTTTCCAAAAAAAAAAAAAAAAAAGGGGGGGGGGGGGCATGGCAAACAGTAAGCTACACCATAGACTGTTTCTCATTAATGTGGAGACATGTACGTTAAAAGACAATGCTCTTGTAAAATTCGAAACTGATATATCTGTTACCAGCGCGAAGAATGCAAAATCGACTTTTTCACTGCATCATTACATTAGGTGTCAGTCTGATAAAGTTTTAAGTATTGTCCATTTTCGTTGACATAGACTTGCCATCAAATATGATCTTGAGATGAAGTTGGCACAACTTAACAATGGCAAACCCCTTGTAAAATTGATAAAAATGTCATGACCTGGTCATTTTCTTTCAAAGATTGACTTGAACTTTTGACCGTCTTGGATAAAAAAAAGTCGGAAATAACCTTTACAGTGTAGATAATTTGCGATGAAGTTTTTAATGAATAAAAAAGTCTTCCATTATTAAGTGATTTTTAATGATTAGTGCCTTTTATAACATCACCGTAGCGCTAAATTCAAAATCCAATCTTCTTCGCGCTCTAACAGAGAACTTGTAGTCTCTCTTTCTATCTAGTGCATATTTCGACCTTGAACATGATTACATCTTTCTGAATTCTGAAATGTAGCCAGCAATAACACACCCACTACCATGCACTTTAGGGTTAAACATTCCCTAAAGTTATGCCAGTGGATTAAAAAAACAGGATTTTTAAAACCCGGTCAGGATTCTTTTAGAATTTGGACAAACCTTGTTCAAAATGCCCTTAAAGTTGTAAACTGTCAGCCCGTCCAGATTAAAAATTTGGTTATTGACTTACCGTTTTTTGAATAATTTAAAATTCAAATATTGATCCGTGTTTTTATCAAAAATCTTGCTATCTCTTCAGCCATCCGAGAAGACCGGATGCCAGGAGGTAGGACAAGACACACAGGGGCAGTGAAGGTATGTATCAGTCCCATATCAAAGCCTGTAGACATACGACTTTAGAGGCGGAATTATTATTAATATTATATTTTATTATTATCATTATGCCATAGTCCAAATCGAAATGTCTACACACGTGCCTTTCATAAATAAAGATCAGTCTAATACACTGTTTCTTTGGTTGGTCATTTTTACGTTAAAGGGCCAAGGGCGCCTTTCACTGTCTTTATTATCATGTTGAAGATTTTTTTGTCATTTTCAGTATTCTGCAGAATGTATATCTCGCATCTTAAAGGGTGACTACTCTGATCCCGGTGATAGCGGCATATTTGCGCCCAGTGGGTACTTTCCCTTGTCACCTCACGTTATAGAGCCGCACGTAAGTTTGGAACCGCCTGTATCCCAAGTTCCTTCACTTTCCACTTTATGGCCTTTACGTACGTCATTTAGTAACAATAACAACTGCCTTTAAATGTCGCCTCTGACCGTGACCGTTTTCAACACCTACATTCATTTCCAAACCACCTCGTTAATATTAAGATCACTAAAAGCACAAAGTTTTATCCATTTTTGAAGCCATATAAATAAGTGTGTCAGCAATTTCACACAAAGTATAGCATATATTTCTGTTACAGCTTTCAAGGTTCCCCAGGATTGGCCCATCATCAGTGTTTTGCTCTGGGATTCCCCGTCATTGTATACCGTGCACGCCACCAGCCCTATGGAATCACCCCGGTCTATGGACATACAGTCGCCCCTGGCTTGACCCCATGCACCCCGGACAGATACCCGACATCAGTCGCTTCAGTGCCGCTGGCCAACCATGGTCGCTGCTGGCGCCCTCTTCACTTGGGGAAACGCATCTCCCACCTTATGGACATAGAGTGTTGCTGGATGCAGAAAAGGCAACGCTGGCTGCAATGGAATTTGAAAAGAGACGTTTAACAGATGCCAGGGATAGGTGCAGGAACCTTCACATGCTCTCCGAGTTATCTCGGCAGCGTGACAGCCACCTGAAGGATGCAGTGACGATTAAAAAAGAACCCGAGTGCGTTCAAGATTCACAGTGTGGCGTTTCCAACGTAGATGATGAACAAGAACATAAACAGACTGTGTTGAGGTTTTCAGAGATCATAGTTTCATTGTGTAACGTTCACTCGGAGTGGATAAAACGACAGCCCATTCTTGACAAACTGACCTCAGAGGAGGTAGCCATTTTGACAACCAAGTCTTTCTTTTCTGTGACAATAATAACGGCGCTGATCTCTGGCGAAAAATATTTCCTTTCCCGACTGGCTCAGCTGTTGCAAACCTATGTTATTCCAACGAGATACCAGACCCAGGAGTCCAGAATGTTTTGCAAAAAACTGCTGACTCTCTGCAAACATCTACTGGATTTGAGGCTTTCCTCTGAAGAATGGGCGGTCCTGAAGAGCTTTTGCTTCTTAAGACAAAGTAAGTACTGGTATAAATAAGTCGATATGTTTCACACCCCAAACGAGGAAGCACGTTTGCTTCACCCTAAGTGGCGAAAAGCAGCGCAAAAGCGTACCCAATCGAGGTCCTAAAACAATACGCCGATTTTGTCTGCAGTATCATAAATGCTTTACTTTTTTTTCGTCCATGATTCTAGTAATATCAGTATTACTATTAGATCTAAATAAGTCACATATTGTATGATATCATATCACATTATATACTTTCAGACATCCTTATATCGCATCACCTGACGGAGACCGAGCGTTTAGCCAATCATTTTACCCAAGTCCTTCACTACCTGTCCAGTTCGGTCACTCTTCAGCCGGCCACACGTGTACAAGCCATGCTGGACGTCCTCGAGCCACTGAAGGTGGTCGGAGAAAACCTCAGTGAATATCCTCTGGAACAACTGCCGTCGATCTTCAAACAACTTCTGTTACATCCGGTAGAGGATGCCAAATGAGGCGATGAAGTATTGGGATGTTGCCAGGTCATTCAGTTAAAAACATCCAACCTGCGTCACATGGCAGGAGAACGAGCTCTATGTTTATATATGCGAGACTCCAATAAATGAAAGGGTATGAGATCCCACGGATTGTATATACATGACGTAATAGCACGTCTCCAAACGACCGCTCTATACTAAAATAACAATTAAGGACACTTTGAAATGACTGGAATGACCATTTGTTGGCATTTATATGATTCTGTAAGTGACGACACCTCTCGCAAACTTTGATATCAGTTTGGCAGTTAACGCACGTGTGAAATGGCTACCCTTTGATGTCACAGGAGTCTCTAAAATATAGTATAAAATTAAAAGTATAGTACAATAAGTACAAGCTTTTTGTTACAAACTACTTGCTGGCCCTGTAGTCAGACAGTCATTTAGTGGCTCGGTGTTTTTAATCTACTTTGTTGCGAACGTTAGCATCCGAGACCTCCTTTAGAATAACACCATTTTATTTGTTGGGTGTCTGAAAAAGTTTGACAGGTGAACCCATGATAAATGAAACCAAGTAAAAATGTAAAGATGGTATTTAAGAAATACTTTGTTATTGTCGTAAAACCATTGATATTCTTAAATCAAGATCCCCGAAAAAACATGTATGTATGTATGTACGTATGTAAATAATTGTAATGAATTATAATAATAACAATTATAACAATAAATTACAAACCCTAGTATAGTAAGTAAATGGAAAAAATAAAGGTATGTGTTAGTGTAATGCACAATGCCCGTGCAGTTGTATTTCGGGGGTTGGGCTGGTTTCGGGTGTTGAGAGGCAATAAACTGATCCATTTTAAAGACGTTTTCTTTTTCTCTTTAATTTTGTGTAAAAAAATAACTTTTTTGACAAGGTGAACAACTACAATTTGTTTTATGTGCGGATGTAATAAAAATATTAAATCAATTAACATGGTGATTAATAATCGGCGAGGCCATGTTTGAATTATCTTTTTGTCTCTAATTGGCAATACATGTAGATCTTGAAGTACTTCTACCGAAAGATAATCTCTCCTCATGGTAAGAGCTGCCTCATTGTCCCATTCTGTCCATTTGTCTTCCCATACTGACTCAACACCACAGTGGTAACTGTCCGCTTGTCATGCAGTTTTACTTTCGGTTCGCTTTCTGAAGTTTCCACCGCATAGCACTCTTCTGTCACAACCACGCATTTCTTGCGTAGCACCACCCCGCCAAATGAATGAAAAATGGACGATTGGTAACTGTTTGCTGACTTTGTATTAGGGATTATTATAGATGATGAAAACCTCTCTGGTTCTAAGGTTACTAGGTGTTCAATGGTGCTTTTGAACCATTGATATTTGTCAAATTTCACGGATTTTTCCGAGTTTCTATATAACGTGATCTCGCTGTTGTGAGATTTGGTTCTAAGTGCTGGACGAAGATACAAATGTTCAATATATGTCAATGGATTCAAGTCAGGATCCTTATTGTCGAGTTCATCATGGAATATATTATTGTTTTCAGTTGCTTGTGCTTTTTTCACTTCGTGGGTCTTTGATTCCCACTTGTAAGGGACATACAATTCGGATGAATGTCTGCGTACGTCCATTCCCAATTCCCTCATTTCTTCAGCCTGTGTCCTGTAAAAAGAACACGATCTATCATTGACTCAATTATTATGTAAAATGATATGGTGGCCTGCATTTCAATCCCCCGTGTTGCATGCTTTGCTTCATTTACTGAAAAAATAATGAGGTGATAATGATTCAAATAAATGCATAACCACATGGTGGCCAGCAGAACAATAGTGTTGAAAATCAGCGAATCCCCGTTTTGGCTATCCTCTGGTATCAGAGGCATCTACAACAGTATAGGCCTACAAGATTAAAGTATATGAGCTATAACAATTTTGTAACAGACTACTAGCCAAAGTGTACGTTTTGGAATTATCATGTCATTAACTAGAGATAAAAATGAAAACTTAAAACCGTAATCGCGCCAATAATTGCATTCCCTCTCGTTAGTAGTAGCAATAAGTGCTAGGTCTATCAGTATAAACATCACGGCTAATACTAATAGCCCACATTTGTGCCTTAATACAGTTATCATTTAAAGTACCAATACAGAGAGAGAGATACCTTTGTCACCTTGCCATAAATCCTATGTAGGCCTACCTATCTACGCCACTAACAGAGTGGCGGCTTTACGACACAATCTGTTTTCAACGATTTGCTCCGAGCCGACTTTCTGTCAAGCTTACAACAGGACCTTTGTGTTTTAACAGTGCGGTTCATGCTATATCGCTGGCACATTACCCTGTTTTAGTCCAGACCACATTCCTCTGTGTTTTCTTTTATCAAAATTTGTGTGGAATACAAAATTCCCAAACAAAACCTAATAAAGAAAGGGCTAAAGGCTTTGCAAACAATGTGAATGACACTGCAGACTGCTTGTCCGAATGGGCTTTGAGATATTTATTGGTTCCCTGACTTCAAATGACTACAACAGTTATACAAAGGGACAAAGTTTTGTTTGTAAATATTCCAGTCACGCCCAAACGATCGCGGCCTCTTACTATTGCGTTATCGTTCCTAATCTTTTGATATGTCGCGCGCACTCAATTAGATAGAAGTGTTGTATGGTTGTACAGTTAACGTTATATCGTTCCGAATCTTTTGATTTGTCTCAGGCTCTCAATAAGCTAGGTGTTTTTTATGGTAGTACAGTACCCAGGGCCGTAGGCTAAGAACAATGTTCGGTGTTTGTGTGGCAGCCTATACAGATTGATTTTTTCACTAAATATCAACCTACAGGTATTTCGCTGGCTAATTCTGTGCACTTTTCTATAATAAGTGTGAAAATGCCAAAGCTCAAGAACCACAAGATACATGAAAGCAGAATATTTGTTCAGCCACTTGAATAAAGGAAATAAAACNTTCACGGCCAGTATTTTTTCTTGGACGACCCATCAGAGACAATTCGTCTCTTGATCCAGTGTTTCTATACCGAGACCAGACCCTCTGCACGGTTCTGACTGAACAATTCAATTGTATTGATATTCTGACATTGCTTATATTCCGCCTCTTCAGGTTAATAACTTGCACCTATAACCGTTAGATAATTACCTGTATCTTGCCATACTGGAGGAAGACAGGAATAACATTTGCTGTACATGTACAAGACCAACAATACAATTCCATGGTATAGCGGTTTTATACTCATTGGTCACATTATAAGTAGACCAGGCATTATAAGTACCCAAGATCTGCCTACTTTCATTACTCTGAGTTAGGGGGTGACACTTCTTTTGTCCACTGTGTGTAGAGATAAAAATGAAAACTTAAAACCGTAATCGCGCCAATAATTGTATTCCCTCTCGTTAGTAGTAGCAATAAATGCTAGGTCTATCAGTATAAACATCACGGCTAATACTAATAGCCCACATTTGTGCCTTAATACAGTTATCATTTAAAGTACCAATACAGAGAGAGAGATACCTTTGTCACCTTGCGATAAATCCTATGTAGGCCTACCTATCTACGCCACTAACAGAGTGGCGGCTTTACGACACAATCTGTTTTCAACGATTTGCTCCGAGCCGACTTTCTGTCAAGCTTACAACAGGACCTTTGTGTTTTAACAGTGCGGTTCATGCTATATCGCTGGCACATTACCCTGTTTTAGTCTAGACCACATTCCTCTGTGTTTTCTTTTATCAAAATTTGTGTGGAATACAAAATTCCCAAACAAAACCTAATAAAGAAAGGGCTAAAGGCTTTGCAAACAATGTGAATGACACTGCAGACTGCTTGTCCGAATGGGCTTTGAGACATTTATTGGTTCCCTGACTTCAAATGACTACAACAGTTATACAAAGGGATAAAGTTTTGTTTGTAAATATTCCAGTCACGCCCAAACCGCGGCCTCTTACTATTGCGTTATCGTTCCTAATCTTTTGATTTGTCGCGCGCACTCAATTAGATAGATGCGTTGTATGGTTATAAAGTTATTGTTATCGTTCCGAATCGTTTGATTTGTCGCAGGCTCTCAATTAGCTAGGTTTGTTGTATGGTAGTACAGTACCCAGGGCCGTAGGGTAAGGAAAATGTTCGGTGTGTGTGTGGCAGCCTCCACAGATTGATTTTTCACTAAATATCAACCTATTTCCTATTTCGCTGGCTAATTCTGTGCACTTTTCTATAATGAGTGTGGAAATGCCAAAGTTCAAGAACCACAAGATACATGAAAGCAGAATATTTGTTCAGCCACTTGAATAAAGGAAATAAAATAGATTTCTGATAAACTGGGAGGAAAAGTCTACACTAAAAATCTGTTGGAATGCCCCTCCCCCCCCCCCTGCCGCCCACGGACCTTGCGGCTGATATCCACACGCACCACGTATGGTATGAAATAGATACAACTTTATAAAAATGGGCATCTTCATCAAGTAGTATTGAAATGAGACATGTCGTTTGCCTCTACTTGTTTGCATTGCATATTTTTGTTATAAAGGTGACTGGTCAGTGTAAAAAAAAAAAAACTCGGAGTGAAAGCTTATTTTCTGACCCTCGTTTTAAGTGGATAGAAGTGGATAGATGGAGTACGAGAGACCTTGCAATCGAACAACATCCCACTCAACCAAGCATTCCAGCTCGCCAGAGATAGAAAACTCAAACTCTTTCTCCCCTCGAAACCCTAACTGGTATAAGAAGGATGACAAAAGAGTTTTAAGGTTGACTGAACACATGATTCCTTTGACACCAAACTACAACTGATTACAGTTTTATATCGAAACTATTGATAGCGTGTGATCACAGGCTTACAACAACAAGAATGCTTACAACGGAAGTGTACGCCCCAACTGTAACAATTCACGTTCAACGCCATGCATTGCGTTAGGAGAGAACGAGTGGGCAGTGCATTGCAGATCATCCACTTCTTGTGAAATGAAGTGTTGTATTTGTTTATATTTAGAAACAATGTACCCCAAAGAGGGGAAGGGTTTAATCAAATTTGTTAAAATCAAATGGGGTGAAAAACATTGCCATTATCTCTTTATAGTCATCATTATAAAAAAGAGAAGACAAAGCCCTTAGTATTATAAACCAATAAGGTTATTCTGCAAACATCAATGATTATTTTTAGTTTTCTTTTATAGTATATGTATAGAGTAGGACCTTGGCGGTCGTTATACCAAGTCTCAATATTCAGCATGCAATTGAACATGTACTACGCGTGTGAAGAACAAATTATCCTGGCTTTTTTTCGTCCCAAACGTGCATTTAGAATATAGCACAGGTTACACTGTAAAAAGATCAATGATTTTTGGAGCATGCCCCCGCGGCAGGTCTTGTAGGGATGATGGATGCCTCCGTGAACAAACAATAAAATGTCCCGATTTTTGTGTGCATTACGCGGCCCTGCAAGCCTTTTGGAAAGATTATATGTTGTAAAACGTTTGTTATAAACAAAAAAAAAAATCTGCATAATGTTCCACAGTGAAATTCCGCATAAAACATGAAACGGTTGCATATGCTCTTATCTCTCACATTTACATCTACCAATCTAGAACATGAAATATAATAATAAATAATAAAAGAAACCAATCTCACCTCATTTTTTACACAGGAAAGGTGGCAACCTGCTTGCCTACACTCCGTTGGTGCAGCCTGTGGAACGTAACCAGAAGCTCACTGACGGAAAAGTAAAAAACTATGGACTGGAAGAAGGCTAACACTTTAAGAAGATGCCAGGCCCGTAGCCAGGGGGGGTTCGGGGGGTTCGAAAGATCCGCCCCTTTTGGTGGGAAAAGGTCCACT